CAGCATAGTGTGTAAAGTACAAGAGAGCATTATACTAGATGCCATGACAGTACACCCCAATGTAAGACTAAAAACTAAACTGGAAGGGTACAGAAATCACGGGAATGTCCAAGCATGAATCAAAGACTCTCCGTGATCATAAGCAATGTGTGGTGATTAATGGTGTGTGAAACAGTGTACAGGGCCCGTTGGTGTATGTTTGTTTTATAAATGATGTGCCAGAAGCTATACAGTCCTCCATTTTTTTTTGCAGACAAGGCCAAGTTATTCAAGGAAATTAAGAAACAAACACACTGTGAAGAGCTAGAGAAAAATCTCTTGTCAGCTTCAGGAGTGGTCAAAGGAATGGCTGTTATGATTCAATGTCATGAAATGCAAGGTCTCACCAACAGTAAGGAGGCATATCACATGTCCCAAATGGATGAAGAAACAGCATTAACGGAGACCAAATATGAGGACTGAAGTTCTCAGACCACTGAGAGAAGGTGAATCAAGTAACTAAGTTTGTAGATTTTATAAGAAGACCGTTCAGTTACCTTGATGGTCCGTTCCTCGTAATGCTCTTCAAAAGTGGCGCTTCCCTGTTTGGAGTACAGTACTGTCTGGTCCCCGAGGTATGCTAAAGATTGTCAGTTGATTGAACGCATTCTAAAAAAGGCCACTAGATGGGTGCTTGGTCTAAGGCACCTCAAGTACCCAGAAATTAAAATGCTTGCTTGCTTGCTTGCCCGCCCCATTAAAGGTCACAACTTAAGGTTGAAGAAGCTGCCACAAATTCAGAAAATTGTCAGGATATACTTTTTTCAGAGTGAGGGTTGTGAACTCTTAGAACAATTTACCAGAGCGTTGTAATGCCACCAAGTGTGAGCTCATTCAAGACCAGACTTGACTATCACTGGTGCTGGTACAGATACATTCTGGAACCAGTACTTGCCAACAGTGCATATCAGAGACGTGACTGATTGACCAAGCGCCGAACAAACCAATCAGAGGCGAAGAGGATAAAATATAAAAGACTACTTATACTTAGAATTGAAATGTCAATACTGTATGTTATTTCCATCACTATAAGGCTGACATATATCACCTTGGAGATTATATTTCGGCTGCAAAATGACGTTAATATTTCAGTTACAGGATGGTGCTGTTTTTATATAGGCTGCAGGATGGTAATATCAATATCTAAGTTGCAGGATGGTGACGTCAGTATATAAGTTGCAGGATGGTGACGTCAGTATATAAGTTGCAGGATGGTGACGTCAGTATATAAGTTGCAGGATGGTGACGTCAGTATATAAGTAGCAGGGTGGTGACGTCAATATATAAGTTGCAAGATGGTGACGTCAGTATATAAGTTGTAGGATGTTGAGTTGCAGGATGGTGACGTCAGTATATAAGTTGCAGGATGGTGACGTCAGTATATAAGTTGCAGGATGGTGACGTCAGTATATAAGTAGCAGGGTGGTGACGTCAATATATAAGTTGCAAGATGGTGACGTCAGTATATAAGTTGTAGGATGTTGACGTTATTATATAAGTTGCAGGATGGTGACGTCAGTATATAAGTTGCAGGATGGTGACGTCAGTATATAAGTTGCAGGATGGTGACGTCAGTATATAAGTAGCAGGGTGGTGACGTCAATATATAAGTTGCAAGATGGTGACGTCAGTATATAAGTTGTAGGATGTTGACGTTATTATATAAGTTGCAGGATGGTGACGTCAGTATATAAGTTGCAGGATGGTGACGTCAGTATATAAGTAGCAGGGTGGTGACGTCAGTATATAAGTTGAAAGATGTTGACGTCAGTATATAAGTTGAAAGATGTTGACGTCAGTATATAAGTTGCAGGATGTTGACGTTATTATATAAGTTGCAGGATGGTGACGTCAACAGTAGTGTTGTTGGTGGTGGCGGCGGTGTGCGGGGCGAGTTTTGTTCCCGAGACTCGCCTGGACACACTGGCCTGTAACTCCATCACCTCCATGAACCCGGGGGAGAGGGTTATTGCCGAGTCACCCAGCTATCCCGTTTACGAAAACAACGAAAGGTGAAGTCTCTGGTCTCCTTCACACTAACGTATGTAATATTTTATTGTAATTAATCTTCACGTATATACATACATCTTTCCTTGTTCTTCACCTCAGAGTCCAAATCTTCTTCACTCAAGGAAGGTTGTTCTTCATCTGTATGTATGCACAATGTCGTTATTTCTCGCCATGTAAATTAGTGTTCTTCACCTTAAGCGTTATCTTTTCCACTTCTTATTTTAACTATAATTATTATCTCTCCAAATGGTCTTCTGTCTATCTCAATTCGCTCTAGCAAACACCATTTACATCCAAACTCCAGGAGTGTATAACCTTTATGAAAATATTCAGAATAACTTTTGTACATAAAGCAGACACACCGCCACATATGCCGTAACATCTTATCTGCTGTCTTTCTGTGAGACATTCTAAATTGCCTGAAGCATTTCCTGAATTCTTCTGAGTTCTCTAATTTACTAAAACGCTTCTTAAATTCCCTTTAGTGCTTTTAATTATTAAAAAACAACAACTTTTCCTGCTAACCAGGAAAAGTTGTGACAGGTTCCTCTCATATGCCAGTAACTTCCTTGAATGTTTTAATGACTTGCCTTTGTTTACCTCTGCTTAGGTGCCAATATGAGATCTCATGTAACACTGAGGACTCCACCTACCTGGAGTACATCTGTCCAACCTTCGAACTGGAGTCTTCTGCTGACTGTGCTGCAGACCGCCTGGTGGTCGTCTACCGCGGCACTCGTGAGGAGTAAGTCTAACTTGTGCTTTTGTTTGTGACGCCTCAACTGTTTCTTCCTTCTTTGTTTACATTATGATACAGGTGAGAGAGAAGGGTTTAGTACAACTACACTATATACAACTAAGGCTATGTGATGGATACAGTGTCACTTTAATTACATAGGCAGTGAATGTCATAACCTTTATACATCCTACAGGCCATAGCTTCAAAGATTTAATAAATTCAGAACAATTCTTGAGAAAAATTCTATCGTACATGTTTGTGTTTTGTAAACTAGCGAGTGATTAATTCCCTGACCGGGAACCAGTATATTAGAGGGTATTAAGAGCGGTTGTGTTGCTTCTACAGGAAGTGCGGTACTGATTCTCCCGACGGCACAATCACCACCACCGGGTGGACGCGTCTAACCTTCGCCAGCAACGGCAACAATGTAGCCAAGGGCTTCCGCTGCTTCATCTGGTGCCGCGCGAAGACTACCACAGCTGCACCAACCACAACAGCTGCCCCAACCACAACAGCTGCACCTACCACAACAGCCGCACCAACCACAACAGCTGCCCCAACCACAACAGCCGCACCAACCACAACAGCTGCACCTACCACAACAGCTGCACCCTACAACAGCCGCACCAACCAACAGCCGCACCCAACACAACAGCCGCACCAACCACAACAGCTGCACCAACCACAACAGCTGCACCAACCACAACAGCCGCACCAACCACAACAGCTGCACCTACCACAACAGCTGCACCTACCACAACAGCCGCACCAACTACAACAGCCGCACCAACCACAACAGCTGCACCAACAACAACACCAGCACCAACCACAACAGCTGCACCAACCACAACAGCTGCACCTATCACAACGGCCGCACCAACCACAACAGCTGCACCAACCACTCCCCCAAGTACCCCAGTAGCTGACACCACTGTTGAGTGTTAAATCATCAACCTTGAGGCCTAAACTGTCGCTAGATGGCAGTGCTAAGGCGTCAAGATCAGTGCCGTGTATATTTCTATCAACAGCTCTGGTCAAGATCACTGATAACTGATACATCTACGATCTACCCAACAGCACCCTGCCTGGTCCTTATTGTCAGCTAAGGAGTGGCCAAGTAACATTATATCAGATTGCGGTAACAGACTGTGGTATCTCTGTGGTGGTAAATATCACATTATGAATATATAATATGTTTTGAGGTGTGTTGGATTTCAATAAAGGTATAGTAACAACTTATCTTTCAATGTTTATTATCTAAACTCGTTTTTTTTTTCGAACACTAAAATGAGTCAGATATCGACCACTACTACACACACACACACACACACACACACACACACACACACACGACTAGACCGCCTCAATAATTAACGACGCAGATTTCTTATACAAATAATATGAAAGACGAGAATACAAAAAACAAATAAAAAAAACAGGTACAATTCCCAACAAGAAAGAGGAAACGCAGAAAGTCAGTGAAAACAGAGAGTGGAAATTCTTATGTGAAAGGCGGGATGCATGACGTGAGCGTATTGGTGAAAGCAATGAACTATGAAATGACAATGTAAGAGAAGAAACATACACGAATAATATTGAAGAAAGAGAATAGATGGTATGGGTGTGAATGAAAGATGATGAGGATGGTGTTGAGGCACAGAGGGATGAAGAGTGGAGTACAGTTCGCAGTCTATAAACCCTGCAAGAGGTCAATAGGCTCTACTCATTAGGCTGCTTCAGCTCGTGGACACAACATCATGTACAAGGCGAGTCCCTACAACACGGATCTCACGTTAACTCAGGATTAATAAGATAAACACAGGATAATATTGAAAATTGGATAACATTATTGATAACAAAGATCACATGAAGAATAAACACCCCAGCCCAAATACTACCTGGATGGGTTGGATTAGGATAGGTTACAATAGGTCAAGGTTATGGTAGGTTAGCAATATGGTATTTAAATCATGTGAAATAAGATGGGGTACCTAATCTTCATGTGAGCCATAAATAATAATAAAATGATACTACTACTACTACTACTAATAATAATAATAATAATAATAATGAATAATAATAATAATAATCTCTTGAGCCAACACACCAAGGTTCACTATGTGTCCCCCTCCAGTCTCACCTCAGGAACACACTATCCCCCCCCCCACACACATCCTCATCTCCCCTTATCACAACCCTAATCAAGATCTTCCTTCTGATAATCTGAGTTGGTCGTATACTGAGCTAAGGTAAAGGATTTTAACTATGGCGACATTGAATGGAGGAATGTAAGTACACCAAATGACCTTAACAATCCTGCAACTCTTTTAGTAGAAACTCTTAATAGTCAATTTCCTAATCTGACATGTGAAAGACCTGACCGCACTGTTTATCCCCAAAGTGGAAACACAGTTGTGCAATAGGTCTGCAAAGCCCCTTAAAACCCTGTTCTGTAGATGCCTGGATGAGCAAAAGGTCCCCAGTGACTGGAAAATGGCATATGTGAGTCCTATATTCAAACAGGGTGATCGCCACTCCACAAATAATTATAGGCCAGTGAGCTTGATCAGGATAGTGTGTAAATAACTAGAGGTCACAGCCTGAGATTAAAGAAGCCACAAGTTCAGAAACTTGTCAGGGCAAGATTTTTGGAGTGAGGGTTGTGAACTGTTGGAATAATAATTGCCAGTGTGATTAATTCCCTGACCGGGAACCTGTATATTAGAGGGTATTAAGAGCGGTTGTGTTGCTTCTACAGTAAGTGCGGTACTGATTCTCCCGACGGCACAATCACCACCACTTGGTGGACGCGTCTAACCTTCGCCAGCAACGGCAACAATGTAGCCAAGGGCTTCCGCTGCTTCATCTGGTGCCGCGCGAAGACTACTACAGCTGCTCCAACCACAACAACTGCTCCAACCACAACAGCTGCACCAACCACAACAGCTGCACCAACCACAACAGCTGTACCAACCACAACAGCTGTACCAACCACAACAACCGCAGCCACCACTCCCCAGGCCGTCACTTCACCAGACACTACTGCACAATGTTAACTTAAGGACCACGACCCTGACACCTGCCATGATGGGTCACTACCCTCGGCTTAGGTGATGGCCACCCAACAATCTTGTAATAAACGATGCACCGAGTCATTTATCAGTGCGAAGATCACCTGAATATTAGGCACCTCAACTTATTTCACCCGATGATTCAACACTAACGCTAACCGAATCTTAGGTGACGTAATGTAACCTAAACTAACTTAACCTATCCTAATTTAACCTAAGCATATCAAACGTAAAGTAATCTAACCTCATCTAACCAATATAACTTAACCTAATGCTCCCAAGAAACGTTAGGTTGTTCAGTCATTAGGTGAAATAAACCGGGGTGGCTAATCATCACGTAATCCATTTGCAAGTATTGAATATTTATATAAACTGGGAATATTTTATGGTGCAAAGTAATAAAATAAAAATGACAACGTTAGTCCTTTATTGCTCCCACCCTAAGATTCAAGATATTCTTATCAGATAACACTGACCCGGAACACAAGATATAGACTTGGATCATCCTGGGAAAATTATTATTATTATTATTATTATTAACCTCCTACTAATAGAGAACACAACACCAAACACTGTCACAGAAAGCCTTGTGTCTGTTACTTACTGCCAGGTATTTCGTCAGCGATAACTTCCACACTGCACACTCTTGGAGATAACTCGGGCTTATCTGATGCCTTATCATAACTACTGTACTGATAATCTGACTCAGAACGGGTGTGGTAGATCACGTCCACCCTGGCAGAGGAAGTAAAAGCCCCTCTCCAGACGGTGCTGCTACAGATATACACACCTCAAGACAGCACAAGAACAGGACCTACTACAGTATCACCACGACTCAACTCGCTCTACGTTCACGATCAAGGCGAGGCATGGACCCCAACGTAGTAAGTCCTCAGGTTCTGTCTTACAAAATCCAGTTCCAATTGAGTCTCTTGAAATATATAACTATATACCGAGCATCAGTTAACATGAAATCATTACATCTATCACACACACTGTACTTATGTCAATGAAGTTCTGATAAATGATCACCTATGAATTTATAACATTAAGATGTTAATAAGAACGGGTTATATTAGATGACCAAATAATGTCTCATTATCTAAGAATTACTGAGATAATCTAACGTGTTAATCTTCTCTGTGTATGATTTCCATTTGTTAACCTGTGACTAAATTCACATTAACATTACATAGCCAATCCTAATGCCATTATTGTTCTATGCAATCTTGAGCTGTGACCCCTTGTGGGGCGAGCGTCCGCCAACTCCAGGTAAGGATATTCGACTGAGTAGTGTCCTCTGAGATGCTTGTACATCTTAATCAGATCTTCCCTTGCCTGTCTGTAGTACAAGCTAGGCAAGTTCAGGAGCTCCAATAACTATATTTTCACTTTGGAAGACATTTCAACACCTAAGGATATATCGCCCTTAATTGCAATAGTACAGTAAGGCGCTGCTTAAACAGTTACCAATTAAACAATTCGATTTAATTTATATCTTTACTTTTCTTTTGCCATTTCTTAGTTGATGGTCAATAATACCTTCAATAATCTCGATGGCTGCTCTTGTGCCTTTACTTTCATGTTTCCTACAAACTGCACATCTTCCTCCTTCAGGGTGATGTGTGGGAGGATGGATGGTGAGTTCAGCAAAATGTATAACTTACAAGGGTTCTCGGCTCTTAACGGTAGACGGATCCATCCCTTCACTCAGAGAGACACAATAGCTCCCTTATACATAGCCATAATTTTGTTGATAATTGTACATTATTTTAAAACTGCAAGGTAAATATTGCAGCCTGTCTGTACTGTATGATGTTTACCTTTTTGTTTTCTTGGAAGTTCATTAATTTTTTAGATTACAAACACAATGTGCACAACAGCTTAGGTCATATACCCAGCATCACAGTAGTCGTCTTTGTTGATAGTAAATGTTCACAGTTTAGTTTATTATTTCAGCACGCCCTTCCTCAATACAGTACATAATGTATTACGTTTGGAAAGTAACATTACTGTGCACTTAAGGCGAGCTTCACCTTTTTTTAATAACCCATATTATGGCGTTAACAGACAGTCACAGTCTCCAGACACACAAGACAACGAAAAACACAACTGGAAAACTTGTATTCCTCTCAAACCTTTTGTTAACTGAACGGCAACAAAGTTTTAGATAAACAGATAATAAACACATCCCAACTCCGGTGTAGATCACCTGTGAATTTTCTTACTAGGATCCAATAACACAAACTATGAACATGGTGATTTATGTCACCATGGTCAGTATTGTTAACTACACATTTTCATCACTAAAGTAGTTAATGATTACCATACTGCATGTCCTGTAACTAATGACTTTACCACACACAACAGAAACTATGGTCGGCGCTGCCTGCGGCGAATATCAGAGGCGCAGAGGAGGCGTTGGCTGCCGGGGCCAACGTAAATCTACAGAATTCCGAGGGCGACAGTCCCCTCCACGCCGCGGCCCTCAGGGGAGAAGCGCCCGTCGTCCGCCTCCTACTGACCCACGGAGCTCAAGTAAATGCAGATGATGACGAGGGTTTCACACCGCTCATGGTGGCAGCGCTTAACGGCCACACAACTGTCCTAAAGGAGCTGTTAGCTGGTGGGGCGAACCCGAACCAGACCAGACTAGACACCGGGGAGACGGCTCTGCACCTGGCCATGAACAGTAACAGCCGACAGGTAGTCACTGCGCTGCTTGACGCCGGCGTTGATGTTAATGCTCAGACGAGTAATGATAAGTCCACACCGCTGCATGTTGCTGCAGAGTTTGATAATCAGCGCCTGGCCAGGGTGCTAGTGGGCCACCCAGTGTGTGACATTCTGATGAAAAACAGCAGCGGCAAAACCGCTGCTCAAGTAGCCACAGACCACGATCACCACCGCTTGGCAGAGTACCTGGTCATGTGCAGCTCACCAAACAGCCCCGTTGACCAGGTAAGACATGAAGCCCTCCCACAGACTAACTTATCTTTGTCACACTGTACAAACTGAGTGTATTTGTCGTAAATGGCGGTTGTGTTCTGTAAACTGTCTGGTAGCCCTAAGTGATCCGGTGGACTCTGTAGATGCTGTTGTCTTGTCTGTACCTCTTTTATTCTCTATACCTTTTGGTTAAGTGTACCGAAGTCAAACACTAGAAGTATAAACAATAGGAGTCTTTCTGGTAATATATTATACAGATACAACACACGTCTATGGTAATGCCCAAACACCGGTCAAGTCCCTTCCACTCCGTCAGTCCGTCACTTAATTAATCCATGTTCACTTCTGCTGATTACGTCAGGCTGTCATCAGCAGAGGGAAGGAAGTCGAATCCTGACGTTACAGTAAACTGATACAACATCCGTGTGCACTGTACCTGTTATACCATAATACTTACATATCTTCATCTTTATTTTCTTCCACCAGCAATAATTATTTGTCTTATACCAGAACTACGATATTTAGTTCACACACCACCAACAATGTATTTCCAAGGATGACAATCAATTAGATTTAAGAGTTTAAAAGGGAAAACTTATCTTGTTTTTGTCTTAGACCATTAAATTATTAGGGATATGACTGTATACAACACCTCAGAGGGTAGGGAAGTTAACAGTGACAACAAACAACAATAAACAGACATAATTTTATAAACACAAATCATCAAGCCATCCACAAGTGGTCAGTTAAGGTCACACCTTCATCTCTTAGTTTGAAGACAGTGACTAGATGTTGGTGAGTGACCTTGGTCTAAACACTACCGCACCACAACCTTCAAGAGACATGTTCACTATGAGGTGAAAGCTTGAATCAAATGTTTCTAAAGGTTTAAAGAGAAGACAACTTAGATAACTCTGGGCTACGACTTTTGACCAATCTAAACCTAACATCTGAGAAACACAGGGATAATGCCCCTTAAGACTCTTGCATGGTCATTTGAAGGCAATATACCATAGCATGTGGGAGGTAGAACAGTAATCGTTTATAACAATCCTTAACACTTGGACGATGGTTTAACACTTTGAGGACGATGGTTTAACAAGCTCGTCCTCAAACGCTTAATACAGTACCTTAATGATTATGAGTGTGACCTCAAGTCTGACCTAAAAGTGTCAAGTATGACCCTCTGGAACCTTAATTGAATACCTGAACAGTTATAAAGTGTGTCTAAGATACTGTAGTTTTAACGCTTCCCTCCATATACTGGTAAGACAACAAATGAGACTGCTCTTAAGATATAATTTAAATACACACTCATGAGATTCAAGTCAATTTATTTTGTATGGACATCCAAGTCATGTTTGTTGGAGCAGCATTAAAGCACCCCCCCCCCCCCTTGGTGGCCAACCCGGGGGTCAGGGATACCGAGTTTAAGGGACCATACTGAAACAGGCGTCTGGACCAAACCTTTTGGTGATGTCCTTAACAGGTTTATGAGACAAGGATTTAACGTGTACAAGTAATCGAGAAAGGAAACTTTACAGACCCTGGGCAAACAAAAAACGAGTCTCTATTATCTATGTCTTCTGACTTTCTACAAAAGACACTATTTTATATACCACTATATCTGTCAATATTCACCTTCTCTTCTGTTCCAGTAAAAAAAGATTAAAGAATCAGTCAAATGAAAAATCTTGATCCATTCACATGTGAAATCATCTTTACCCCCCTTCCCCAGATGCTTGTGTCCGCCATACTAGCACTGGATGTTGACAAGGCGGCAGAGGCGGTGGCTGCCGGTGCCAATGTCAACCTACAAGCTCCTGGAGGTAATACTCCCCTCCACGCTGCCGCCCTCAGAGGGGAGGCGCCCATCATCCTCCTCCTACTGACCCATGACGGTGATGTAAACAAGGCCGACGATGACGGTTTCACACCACTCATGGTGGCTGCACTCAACGGTCGTCTGGACGCCGTGAAGGACTTGATGGCTGGTGGGGCCAACCCCAAGTTGACCCGTTTAGACACCGGGGAGACGGCTCTGCACATGGCTATGATCAGTAACAGCCGGGAGGTGGTCACTGCGCTGCTTGATGCCGGCGCCGACGTCAATGCTCAGACGAAAGACAAATCCACACCGTTGCATGTTGCTGCAGAGTTTAATAAACAGCACCTAGCTGAGAAGCTATTGAAGCACCCGACGTGTGATGCAACCTTAGAGGACGTAAATGGCCACACTGCCGCCCAGGTGGCCAGAATGTTTCGCCATGATACACTGGCCTCCATGCTGGGTGGTGCTGACGACGTGGACAGCTCTCTGACCGCGTCACCACTACAAGTAAGTAATGGAAATCAGGAAGTGAATCTCCATCACAGAGTCAGCTGTGATTTGCAAGTTGTGAATATTGTGAATGATGCAATTTGGGCCTGATGTAATTTGTGACTGGTGAAAGTTGTGACGGGTACAAGTTGTGACGGGTACAAGTTGTGACGGGTACAAGTTGTGACGGGTACACGTTGTGACGGGTACAAGTTGTGACGGGTACAAGTTGTGACTGGATTATGCTGTGACTAGGGTATGTTGTGGTTGGTGTATAACACAGGTCATGTATATACCATACATGTAGCATGCGAGTGTTGCAGGAAGCGGGAATGACGGTGCAGGTGGTGTTTGGAAGACCTATGCCGCCCGGAGAAAACGTGTATAAGTGTACCACAAACCCCAAGGGCCACGTCCTCATCCTCAACTACGAGTTCACTGGTACACATAATGAACGTCGTGGCTCTACTACCGACGTCAAAAACCTCAACAATGTCTTTACACAAGTTAGTTAACATAAAGTTTATTTGCTGGGTAACAGAAGATGATTGTATTCAAAGAGGGAATTTACTTACTGAACCCCAATAAAACTATTTAATTTGAGAGAGTGGTTAACTTGTGTGTGAGCTATTGTGGTATATTACTACAACCAGGTATATGAGAATAAGCAGATATTTATCTACGTCTGACTGTTATACCTACAGCTTCATCTTAACTGTGTGGTGGTGAACATTACAGATGGGCTACAGGGTGACGACTCACAAGGATCTAAACAAACAAGAATCAATAAAAGCCCTCGAAGAGTTCCGCAACAACGAGGAGCTGGGTAAGGTGGACTCTGTGTTCGTCTGTGTCCTCTCCCACGGCGAGGACAAAGAAACCTTCTACACAGCTGACAATAAGACACTTACAGTGAACGAGGTAAATTACCAGTGAGAGGTAAAGAGTCTCCTAACGAGTGGTGAGGCCAAACTTTGATGTAAGATTGTTTATTGAATATGAATATCTGGATTGGTCTCGCTTTCACAGTAAACAAATATAATGGTTGGTACAGGAAAAACAGGGTCAGCCGGGTTTATGTCTGGTAGGTTATATAGCTGTGCTTAGTTAATAAATCGAACAATATTGTTTATACGATGTTTGTAGAAAGAACACATTGCTTTAACTACATCCCGACACTGATCTTTACAATTACGAAAAACTTAACCGGCGTAATTGGGAGAAATATTTTAACATCGAACTTTACTGGTAATTAACGTTCACATCATCTATGAGAACTGAAAATATCAAACACATCAAATTAATCAGCCTGAGTTTTGGATGTAAAGTGAGATTCACAACTACAATGTTATAGCCAAACAATTATGTCCACGATATACCACACCTCCATCACTGTTGGCCTCACGGCACTGTACTGTGCGTTTACTTTTGTTTTTATTGACAAAACTGATAACATGACCACACGCCTGGGAATTAACAGAACAGTGTTATGGTAGTCAGGTAGTTGCTGTAAAATGGTTTCTTAGTTTACCTCACTAATTAGAGACCACACAGAATCATTGATAGTGAAGGGAGTCCCACAGGCATGACCGCCCGTTATGGACAGTGTGGATACAGCACACTGTATACTAAGCCTTCGGTACACAAGGAGGCGAGCGATATATCCACTTGACCGCCACAATCCACAGAAACATTAGCAAATCGTAAATTAAGAAATTATTCAGAACTAATAGGAACCCTGGCGCGGTGAAACACATGTTGAGCTGATTACTTCTTCACCAACAGGTCCGTAACATGTTCACCGACAACGAGTGTCCCAACCTGAAGGGCAAACCTAAAGTCTTCCTCATGAACTTCTGCCGTGGGAAAAAGAAGGAGAAGGGCTGCATCATCGACAAAACACGTGAGGCGACCTGTACATCCTGTAATGCAGTGTTGTAGTTTGCATCCATACACAATAAGATTTATAAACAGCCGTCAAATACATCCAGATACTACACACAGCTACAGTCTTAGAAGCAACAGTAATATAAATGAACCGCCCACCTCAATTGTCTCACCAGTATCCTCCTACCACCTCGCCCCACCATAGGCTCTATAATGAGATCAAACACAACAAACATTAAAACTTGTATAACTTTCCAGGTTACTAATCTCACCCCCCCCCCTTCTTCTGACAGGTACAGATTCTGTTATGATACCAAGAAGCCCCGAACACCACAGCGACTCCACAGATTCAGTGATGGAAGTCCCCAGAGATATGTTCACATTCTACGCCACCGTCGAGGGGATCATGGCTCTTCGGAATGTTTATGAAGGGACTTTCTTCGTACAGGCGCTCTGTCAGATACTCGCTGCGTACGCTCACAGAGACCACCTGTCGGAACTAGCCCTCAAAGTGAGGAATCATATGGTGGACAGGATGTGCGGCACCACACCGGACTGGGAGGATTACTTCTTTAAGAAGTTTTACCTCAACCCCACGAGTCAAACAGGACGCTGAAGGCGGCAATACCTCCCACCAGTGTACACAACCTCGGCTCTCCCTCCGTCACAACTTATACTTGGTTTAGGTTCATTATACTGACTCTTTGATTATAGCTTTAGGTTCATTATACTGACTCTTTGATCATAGCTTTAGGTTCATTATACTGACTCGTTGATCATAGCTTTAGGTTCATTATACTGACTCGTTGATTATAGCTTTAGGTTCATTATACTGACTCTGATTATAGCTTTACTACATAATATTTGCTTACTTCATCATAAAAGGGTTTTGAGTACTAGTTATGGCTGTAATGATATTTTGAAACAAGTGTGCAACTGTATACGTACATGTTTAAGAGTACAATACAACCCTCTCTCTCTCTCTCTCTCTCTCTCTCTCTCTTTACTCATGTGTTTGCCATTGACGACACATTAATAAAAAGAGTTACATGCAAGTATTTGTTTTTTAATCGTAACTCAAATAAAATGGTATCGTGTAGGGGTAATACTGAGAGAGAGAGAGAGAGAGAGAGAGAGAGAGAGGTGTTTGTTTGTTCACCAGTATTCCAAGATCAAACAGCTGGCGGTAAAACTCAATCACCATAAGGATGAGCGCGGTGGTGTTTACATACATACATCTTACCTGTCATGACACACACACACACACGTCTTCGCCACTTCAATAAATAACGAAAATAAAACAACTGTATCTTTAAATCACTTATTTTCCCAGTGTTTGGAAAATGTCTCCAACACCCCCGCCCCAACCCCGCCCCGCCCCGCCACCTTCCCGCCCCGCCCTCGTAAGCCGTGAAAAACTCCCTATATTCCTCTATTCTGCTACTCCTCCATTCCCTTCTCTCTCCTCACTACTTCCCTCAATCGCTTCTCTCTCTTTCCACCTTTCAACCCTCCCCCATCTCTTTCTTTTTTCTTGTATTTATATCTCTCCTTCTCCTCCTCCTCCCTCCTTATTCCCCTCCCCTTTATCCAACTTTCTCTCTTATCCTTCCTCCCCCCTCCCCCCCTCCCTCTCTTCGCTAGTCAAAGGTTTGGTCCTTGGTAAAAAAATAAAGCGTGGGAAGCGTAGCAGGTGAGGGCAGTGTTAGTGGCCCTGGGGAGGATGTGGGAGAGGAGCAAGAGGTGGCCCCATGGTCTTCCCAGGATTCAATGGCCCCTTGTGACTCTCCTGGGCCCTTAGATGGTCCCAGATATAATTTTTGTTTTTGTCCCATGGCCCCTGGTGATTTCAGAGGCCCACCTGGTATCCTTCCTGAGGTCATTGGCCTCTCGTCACCCTAGCGGCCCTCTTAGTTTCAGGGTTCCTACAGTGGTGAGCAGCAGACTACGATAGCCGCCATTAAACCTAACCTAACATAACCTAACTCCACCGCAGAGAACAGAAACTGGACTCGGAGTTGAGAGTTGCGGAGACTTGAATAAGAAACAGTTTAGCTCCGATGGTGTTTGAGTCATTATAAATAAGTTCCTCAATGTGAATGTAATTAGAAAAAAAAATGACAATGTAATAAATATAAAGGTTGACCAAACTGACCTTCTGATGTAGTGTTTGGGCAGGAGTCACCAAAACACAGCTGCATGTGTAGTTTCCTTACTGGCCCAAACCTGTGAGAGAAAAACAAACTGATAAATATATACAGACAAGAGGGAGGGACGGACAAACGTACAGACAAGAGTACTATTAAACACCACTTTCACATTCACTGCGGGGAATAAAAAATAAGTGATATCTATTAAGTATATATATTAATAAATAAAACCTGTATATATAAAGATCCTGTGCCCTCACTACTGTACTGACGGGTGGAGCCAACACACACACACACAGATAAAATACTCTCCATACACCGAGCCAAAGACCTACCCTGGACTACAGTGTGACAGTACGCTACAAATACCTCACTACCTGCTGTGTCACCATCTCTACCTGTGACGCTTTCATTGACTCACTGTATAACTCATGCAGAATACCACTGACTGACCCATTCACTGAGAGAATCCATGCCGAGAGGAGTGTACGATTACCGCATAGTTGTCTACCTGTTGTATATTAACTTTACTCCCACAGGTGATAAAGGTACCATCTCTCAGGGCCCAAGTCACTCATTTATCTACACTATAACAATAAATCACTAAGCTATGACCACAAAAGCTAGTGAAAAGCTCCTTCGCCAAAAGTTGAGGGACAGGAACAAGCGGAATGTTTAGGAATTCGTAGTTTCCTTTGTCGCTGCTCCCGGAGGTTGCCACAGGCGATGGGTCGAAATATAATCCACCATTTTGGCTCTCTGACAGAAATCACTTATGTGGGATTTATTTATTTATTTATTTTTTACATTTTTAAATCCTATAAAAGCTGATGATTCGCAACTACTGGTAAATAGTGGCGTCTGTATGGCTGTCACTATGTTGAAATGTGGATTACGTGAACGCCAGATTGACAATATCGTTCCCTGACCATAATTATTTACTTGAAAATATATGAGAATTCTATAAAATCAACCCGCTTTTTCTCTCACTTTTATCTTTCTCTCCCTCAAGCCCTCACTCACTCTCTCTTTCTCCTACGCGCTCTCTCTCTCTATCTCTCTCAAATCCTTACTCTCTCTCTCTCTCACACTTTCACGAACTCTCTCTTTCTCTCCTACATATCCATTAAGGGCCGTCCACGCCAGAGTTACAAATTTCAAACTATTTCCAGTGAACACTTCAATAACCTTTTACAATTTGTCATTCTGGATGATGAAATATTCTGAAGTTTGCTGATGAAATATTCTGAAAACCGAATAAAAATGTATCTTCCTGAAGGCTGAAAATACATTTATCTGAAGGTAAAAAACGCACCCTTCAGGAGATACTGAATTTGGCTCATGGGTGACCTGAACACTGACAAATTAGGCCACAGATATTAATTGTTCTGGGTGTACCTATTGGATGTTGAAGTAGGAAAGGGAGGAGGAATAAGGATAGAGGGAGGGAAGGAGGAAGGATATAAGGAAGGAACGGAGGAAGAAAGAACGAAAGAGAAAGAAAGGCGATTGGGGTGGGTGGGTATAGGGGGGGGGGGGTGTATGTTTCAGAGAGCCTCATAATACCAGCTAGGATGAGACAAGGAGACATCAGCCAGGAACAAGTCTCCAGATATGCTTCAAGATTCTCACAATAGTCACCCGCTGTCGTCTTTATGCCTTGGGTTCAGCAGAGTGTCATTTAGATACGTTCTCATGACCCCAGATGGAGACGAAAAAACAAAAAACAAAATCCCCTTGAAAACCTGTACGAATCTTGTCTCGAATCAATAATAGAATGTCCTTCATGTCTTCCCTGACTCGGTAATTACCCCAGTGGCAATAATGGGTCGTTTAATGGCGCGGAATAGAGGCGAGGGATGAAATATGTGGAGAATTGCATTATGTAAGTGACGATCAAATTCCTTGGGTAAATGGTAGAGTGAAGTGGGAGATGGTAACGTGGTTTCCGGGTGTTGCCTAAGTTGTGTTCTTGGTGCGTGGGTGATTATTAATATTATTATTATTATTATTATTATTATTATTATTATTTTTGTTGTTTATGTTGTTGTTTGTGTTGTTGTTTATGTTGTTGTTTGTGTTGCTGCTATTGTTGTTGTAGTTGAATGTCGTTATTGCTTAGTTATAATTGTTGTTGCTCTTCATGTTGTTGTTTTTGCTATTGTTATTGTTATCATCATCATAAGACAACAGTTTCTATATCAACGGTGAATATAACTCGTTCCACCAAGAGTGACTCATGTGATAAGGAAAATGAGCTGGTGGTAAGCCTTGGCCTCAGAGCCAACTGTGTACAGCAGGAACCATCCAACATTATTACTGAAACTCGTAGATAAAACTTCTCTAAACGCTCCACTCGCTCCCTCCTTATGAGAAAAAGAATAAAAAAAATCTAACCTAACCTAGACTCATCCAACCTAGCCTATCCAAACTAAACCTATCCAAACCTAACCTAACCAAGACAAATATATCCTAACCAAACCTAATGTCTCCCAACCTAACCTAATCTAATCTAACCACCTAAGGCAACATTACGCTGGTTAAAGAAGCTGGGGTGTCTAATCTTCAGGCGATCCAAAAATTTTACAAGTCACAATAAGGTAATGGGAGGGAGACAATTTTGCCGCCAGACGTAGAGAGGAACAGCGGTCACCACCCACATCCTGACGAAGGTATGGGTATGAGTCACGTCTTCTTGGCAGGCTTCCGGAGCTGTGAGTTATACTGTATCTCGACCCTGTAGTTGTCTCCAGGGAGTTGTGAGGAAGAGAACCTATGGCAGGATGTGTGTGTGTGTGTGTGTGTGTGTGTGTGTGTGTGTGTGTGTGTGTGTGTGTGTGTGTTTCTACGTTTACAGGTTCAGTCTTTACATCCACACTACAGCTCCACCGGCAGAGTATATTAAGCGACTCAACAAGACGTGAGTGAGTGTTATTACCGTCACAAGATCGCTGTTATTAAGTCGCCACACACCCACTCCCCTCCTCCTCCCTCCAGGTCATGAGAAATATATCATAGCCGGAGTTCTCTAAGGACCGTACCGTAATATCTCCCTTACTGAGGTACCAAGAACTCATCTCAAGTCTCAATTAAGCTATAATGCACGAAGATGACGACGAATTTGGCGTCACTGCACCGAGATTGACTAAAGAAGAAGCACTCCCTCACACACAGATAAAGGTGGTTTGATTAACATTCCAACAGCTGAAAATCCTAACTCAAGTGTTGTAATCGTGTTAAGATAAACAATTAGGAAGACTTCGCCTCCTCGTGACACAAACAACAGGAAGTTTGAGGTAGTGACACTATATTATATACTGATGAGCTACGGCATCAGAGAGAGGGAGATGCGGACACCCGAAGCATCTCGCACAACAGTCTGGGGAGTCATGATACCTCCAGAGGGACAGATGCTGTACCACCCAGACTATCAAACATGGAACAATGCTTATTCCTACACCCCCCCCCCCCCAGTTATTATTATTATAAGTGGTACTAATCTCATCATTAATACCATTGCCTTTACTGATACTCATTAGATACTGTAATTATTTTTATCATAATATGATCGTTACTAGTGTTCATTTCCTGTTTTTTTCCCTCGTTTATTAGTGTGGAGGAAGCTGGGGGAAGGATGGCTGATACACCAAACACCTCATCAGACAGACATATAAGACTTATATGAAAACATCGACCACGATCATTATTAAATTTGGGACGCCGCCCACCAAGATGAAGAATGAGGACGCCACCTAGTGTAAGGACGCCTCCCACCAGAGGAGTGTGAGGCGCTCAGGGCCAGGCCAGGGCAGGAGGATCAGTACAGCATCGACCACCGGCGGGAGAGGACGGGAACAGGAGAGCGCTCAAGTGCCCCTCAAACCGCCCACACCAGCACGTGTTGCCTGCCTCACTACACTGCAAGGATAATGTGCTTATTTAATGTTCATACAGCAGAAATATTGTGTTTGTTTACTACTCAAACTGCAGGAAGTGTTTGTTTACTTTTCTTACTACAAGGATACAGTGTTTGTTTATTACTAATACAGCAAGAAGTGCACTGTTCACACTAACCTTAGAACACCAAACAGTAAATATCATGGCATAAATACAGTGGTGATCAATATTCACGGTGCATCTAATAAAGGCACTCGACGTACGTACTGCCTCATGCTCAACTAGTGCATCCTATAATAATATATACCTGTAGTGATTAACTGGTGTATCATTACTGTGTTCAACTTTATCGTAGACAGTCTTGAACACTACATGCAAGATAACAGAAGATCTGAACAACATCGTGGTGACGCAATTGTTCATTACCGTGTGTGTGTGTGTGTGTGTGTGTGTGTGTGTATGCTATCTCAAACGACACCGAGGAAACTCTGAATATTTTTTATATAAAATTAATACCATAACTTCCTACTGAAGAAAGTTTGCGAAAATATCTATAAATAACTATAATAATAACTTAACAACAAAGTCGATACAGTAAGTGAACGATATCGCCTGGAAATGTTTTACACGGCTTCAGTTCATATTAATAAATATAACATGTGTTGTCTGCTAACCTATCACCAAAAGGCAATACAGTACTATTATTACTAGGCATGAGACTATCACCAACTAGAACAACACCACCGAATAATATGAAGCCTTAACCATACCGTAAACACCGTCCCTGTCCACCGACACACAGACGCCACCACCATACGAGATTTTCTATTATTTTGGGAGTATTAAATTCACGTCCCACTTTCCTCTGCTTCAGGAATTTCACCAGACCTGACAGTGAGGCTGTGTGGAGAGCTCATGCATATTATAGAAGATCCTTGGGGCCCATTTAATGTAACCCCAGGAGCCAATACGAATTATCTTGTAATTTGGCAATGGAGAATGACACTTATAATGTACTTATAAAACTGATGAAATAATAAAAAGAAAAAAAACAGGTGACTTTGAGAAATAGCGATCGTGACAGAAAAAAAAGATTATTTGAATTACCTATACTTTATGACAAAAAGAACGATATCGGAAATTCCCTCAAGACAGATATATATCGTGGCAGAACAAAATAAACTAAACTACACCTTCAATTTTGTGGGTTCCATAAACAGGTCAAGAACTGTTGGTAAATATAAACTACTTACACTCAAAAATTCGCTCCAGCAATTTACATAAAGAATCTGCCTAAGTAGGACCTTCACTGCAAGGATTCATTAAGGGAAGTTCCCGACATACTAGACTCAGCCTACCATCTGATAATGACGTAACCCGCCGCGTTCTTAACTTGGCCGAAAATTTGGTGTAAATGAAATGTCGTATATTTCTTTTATGTGAACGAAAAAAAAAAGTTTATTTATTTTATTATTACGAATGGCGAAGGGGAGCACGATAATGAGCAAGTGGCAGTCACCATCTGCATGATAAAGAAAAATAAAAGATCTGCGTGACTAATTTTATATATAAACAATCTGGAAATGTTATATTTTGTTACTTATAGCCCGATTTAAAAAATGTGATTATGATTACTTGAGATAAAAATATATAAAGACATTACTCTGTGTTCATGTCTTAACCTTTGAAGAGTGAAAAAAACATTACGACGGCAAGAGCGTCTCATATTATACACTATAACATTTGATTTCCAGTATAAACTGCAAATCCAACTAGTGTTCTAAGGGCTGAAATTATATATATAGATAAATAAAGATATAAGATAAATAAAATATAATTAATAACATGATTACTTCGCAAAAAAAAAACAATAAAATGCTTGTGCCTGATTATTTTGTGCAAGTTCTCCCAACACCCGCTGCGTGGTGGTAGCCGTGAGGGTACGGGCCGTGAAAACATCCGGCACACTGATTTACCACAAACTTGGCTCCAACAATTTTCAGTATGAAAACCTACTGCTTCATACTAAGGCTTTTCCTATATTCTTAAAGAACATTGCACCCTCATAGTTATTGCTTAAATGTTGTTTTTTTTACTTCTCACTTGTCAACAATACATTACCTCGAAGGTGCCAGATAATTTGTTTGTTTGTTCCAACGTATATTACTGGTATGCTTTCATGTCTCGCGTTATCAACTTCGAGATAAAAATTTTAAGCTTACGTAACGGAAGGACTTACTGTAAGAGGCGGCGCCACACAGCACTTTTTCTGTCAACTTCCCGTTTTCTGTCGTTTTTTCCCACGAGTTGTAAATTTTTCTGGCGCGTCTCGCTATGACGAAACGTATCGTTTCCGACTGATTGGCTTGTGCCAATTTACGTGGTCAATCAAGATCTATATACTCTATATAATGAGGATATTTATATAAAATAAATATCGAGCCACGTAAAATAACTAAATTTAATTATAAAATTATTCACAATCGCATTTTTTATAAATTGCTTAAGTGTATTTTTTTATCGATGTTGATATTCGCAAATGCATCTGATATGAATATTTACATTGAGCAGCCTGTTAACACAATGCCAGGCACGCTAGTTCTGTATGTGTGAAACAGAGCGCTCAGATAAATGACAATCCTTAGAAAATTGATGCAAGAAAATGACGGAAAAAGTGCTAGTGTGACGCCGCCTTTAGGTAACTAAGACGAGATATTTTGTTTCTGATTTCTTACACTGGAGGCGGAATTTTCTTTATTGGAAAATAATCTGGTGAGATTCTCTTCGGGGAGATTCTGCCCTGTACCTCAGACGGCTCCAGTCCGTTGGCTGTCCAATCTTCCCATCCAGAAGTGATGTGAGCGTCTGTGGCAAGCGTCCTGAGGTATACTTCTTACAGATCTTCTGTGGAATAATTTCTGAAAATCTTGAGCGATAATACTTTGACTTTGACTGAACGCAGATGATTTATTTCCCTCTATAATAAATTACCCCACGACAACTCACGCTAACTGCATAATTAGATTCATATTCTACAGTCAAATCAATGGTAATGCATCGAGTTTAATACCACCATGAATACCTTTTACATCGCATTATAATACACACTTAACTTAAAGGCTAACGCGTAAATTTTCATGCTAAAATTTAACAGTGATCAGACGGTGACCAGACTCCCACGTTTCTTGCCAACAACACACTGAGACTGTAGCGACGAGGGCTACTTTTACGCCGAGGAAAATAATTCGCCCAAGCTTCTATTACGAATAAAATTTCCCACAGTTATCGGAAACAGCTTAGATGAGCTCAGCGGCATGATAATGAAGGGTTATATGGTGGGCATGCCAGAGAAAGAGGGTGACTTACTGGTATTTTATTCAGTATTTTGGGTTTGGCTGTGGTGGTGGGAGTTTGCAGGAGCATTTATTGAAAACGGCAAGGGTCTTTAATATACTATAATCTGATATTAGATATTCTCATCGTCTTATTAATATAGGAATAATATGACTTAATCTATGACTCAATATTAAGGGTTAATACTCAATCCCTGTCAGAAAACACACACACACACACACACACACACACACACACACACACACACACACACACACACACACACACACACACACACGAGACAATTTTGTTTTATGCAGTTCTCGGTTCACTCACTTTACCAAAACATTACGTTAAAAATAAAGTCAAACTCGATCAATCACCTGAAAATCTGAAATTCATTAAATTATCTTAGGGTGAGGCTTTTCGACACACCGTAACACCCAAATATAACTCTTGTGTTGATGCTGACGACCACTACTGTTGTTATTGTACTATTACCGTACTACATCTACTACTACTTCTAATACCTACAACTACTACTACTAAAACTAATAATTACAAAATGAAAACACTGGTGATTTCCAGTTAACAACACCTCTAATGACCTCTAACTACCCACGCTCATTCCCCCTGATCATGGAATCTGATTTATCAACGAATGAAAAAAAAAAAAAAACTAGATTTCGTGTTTCTAAGCCCAGGTGATGACCCTCGTAATTTACCTTTAATTAACAGACTTTCTATATCTCACCTTCAATCTATATACCAGACGTCTTATATTATTCCTAAGTTATATCTCAAACGTTAACTTTTAAAATCAACAAATTCATTTCATATATCAGTGAAGCATTAAAGTTTTCTCTCAAGGAATCAAAGGTTATCACTGTATACATATATCCTTGTGGACAACTTAAATACCCCTAAGGCCAGAGTATTCAAAGAGATCGTTTTCCATCTCGGCATCAAGCATTAAGAAACTAGCCAGGGAAATTGTTAAGAAGCTTTTATGACGTATCTATAGCGTCTCTAGTGATGGCTAGTTCCAGTGTGCGTCAGTTTACGTTTTTATTATCATCTAGTAACTGAAATTGTAGTTATCTAGATCCCATGGTCCGTTGGAGTCGAAAATAAACAACTTTCATTATACCACAGAATTTCCCGTTTATAAACAACAGGATACGTTCACGGAAGTGTTTTTGATATTAATATTAAAAAAACATGCTAATTGGACGAGTGGGCTTGTGATTGGTTAATAAGGAAGTAGTCAACTGTTAACTGGTAGTGACCCTGTAACTAACTGGAGCATCATAACAGTTTTCTCAGATGACTCCACCTTAGTCCTCGAGCAACGATAAACAGGGAGTCTCTTAAACACTTATATATAGTTTACGGAGACGTGAGGAAATGTGGTTTGTGGATTAAATGTTAGGAGGGATAATACCACAGTACAGGAAGGAGGAGCCAAAGATGAAAAGTACATTATTCTCAAAGTGACGGTGTTTATCTTAATTCCTATACTGTAGGTGACGCTCTTAACCTAACCGTGGACGACTCACTGAAATAACACTGAGAATCACTATGGTCAAGGACTTTATTAAATGCTTATGGGTATATGAGTGTTTGCTCAGCTAAGGACATTGAAAAGCTGTGAAACAACACGAGCTTCACCTTTATCCTACACCAAGAGGGCAAGTGTTAAGCTACACCCAGAGGACGAGTGTGGCGAGACACCCAGAGGAAGAGTGTTGATCTACACCCAGAGGACGAGTGTGGCGAGACACCCAGAGGACGAGTGTGGCGAGACACCCAGAGGACGAGTGTGGCGAGACACCCAGCAGGAGGCTGGCGTGAGGTGTACCTTATCAAGAGGAGTGAGCAGAAAGGCAGCGACCTGGACTCTTGCCTCAAATTCAACATGAAGAGGAACTCCTCCTTCAATTATGCCTTCCATGCCCAGGTTGACTACCTGCCAGGTGAGTAGTGCTGTTGTTGTTGTTGTCTATCTCAGGTGAGTAATGTTGTTGTTGTTGTCTATCTCAGGTGAGTAATGTTGTTGTCTATCTCAGGTGAATAGTGTTGTTGTTGTCTACCTATCTAGTGATGAGTAAATTTGCGTCTATTTCCCAGGTGAGTGACAGTGATTAACCTCCAATCCCTAGAGTATCGACCCCCACCTACCTGAAGGCTACATCAGCCTGTGAGAGGTCATAAGTCGACCTCTCACAGGACAACGTTTGAGGGAGATACTTCAGTCATTGGTCCACACGAGGGTCAAGGAACAAGGTCAAGTAATGGTAGAGGGAAAGATCTAATGACCTGTCTGAACTACCGTGTATATACAGTATAATAAGAGGTCGTTATCAGTGTCCATTTAAACTGTGTCCTACCCACTTCCACCATCCTTCTCATCCTCCCTTCCTTCCCCTTCTCCACTCTCCTTCCTCTCCTTTACCTTCCACCATCCTCTCCGTCTGCTAGCTCCACTCTTCACCTTCCTTCCCCCATCCGTTCCCTCCCTAATCCCCACACTCCCTCTCAAGTACCTTCCATCATCCCCATTTCGTTCCTAGCACCTCTGTCTAGCCTAATACTGTCCATAAAGCTTGGGAGAGGCAGAGGGAATCCCACAATACACCGAGGCATCAAAGTGGACCCATCACTCACTCCACCCGGCCGATGAAAGGTTACCACGCCACCACACAACACTCCCTTGCCTGCTGGAGGGATACGAGGCGCGCGCTCTCTCTCATGTCTCTGTCTGACCAGGTCGCCAGGTCAATGGTTCTGAGGGTGTGTAGGTGTGTAGGTCATATTTCAAGGACCTGTGCAAATCAATAATACAATACCTCATATAAGACGCGACTTGTTATACTGAAATGTTATGTGTGGTTTACGTAGAGTTTATAATCACTGCAGTAGCAGGGTATACGTAATGTATCTTTGGTAGTTATTTATGTATATCGCTTAAATATTTATATACTAGTAAAATTGTGTGGTATATGCTGTATAACCTTGGTTGCCATAGCTTGTCCACCCTGGCACGAGTCACCAGCTCCCGGAGAAGATTTTTGGTTTTTGCCCTGACCTTGGGACCTTGGGATCTTGGGACCTTGGGATCTTGGGACTCATGTAATATGTGTGTAGATTTTCATGACTAACTAATTCCGTTTTCGAGAAATGGCTGGAACAAACAGACAGACAAACACACTCACAGACAGACACTCAATCCTCTCTGTCCAAACATGTGGGCTGTGCCTTTGTGCCAACACTTACAAACACAAACACACAAAAAAACATTCCAATAAACAAATGTACATATTACCGCCACGCTCTCCACTCACTCACACACCCCAAGTCTCCCACACACACTCACTCACTCACTCACACACACACACACACACACACACACACACACACACACAGGTACTCCGCATGCCGGTACAACACTATGCCACGTAACCCACCTGTGTATGCCTGTATAACACTTCTCTATGCCACGTATGCCACCTGTGTATGCCGGTACACTGAGTGGGAACGCTGGTCACGTCCAGACAAGAGCTGCTCCAACACGTTTTAGCAATGACGCGACAGAGAACGACCATCGAGGGGAATTGAATCTTTCAATATATATAAGAGAGAGAGAGAGAGAGAGAGAGAGAGAGAGAGAGAGAGAGAGAGAGAGAGAGAGAGAGAGAGAGAGAGAGAGAGAGAGAGAGAATTCATACCGGGGATGGAGAGAATATTACCAGAATAAGAGAGAGGGAGAAAGATAGAAAGGAGAAAGAGAGAGAGAGAGGATATTAACAGAAAAAAGAGAGAGAGGGTGAGAGAAAGGGAGAAAGAAAAGGAAAGAGAGGGAGAGAGAAAGGAAATGGAAAGCAGGGACACTAATACTAGGGAGAGAGAGAGAGAGAGAGACAACATGCGTACTGACTTGTAAGGTACAGTTTATTAACCTTTGATCTGCCAGAACTCACAAGTTACCAGAGATTCCAGAAATGTTTGTGTGTGGTCTTAAAGAGAAAAGCAACCTTGGTGTAGCCCTTTGAGAGAGAGAGAGAGAGAGAGTCGAACTATCTACTGCGGAATAGCTGTTAAATTTAATAAAACTCACTCTCTCTTTCTCTGTCAACCTGTCTGTCTGTCTGTCTGTCTGTCTGTCTCTCCCCCAACCTCATGCTGATTAAGAATTTTTCACCACATTTCCGATCATAACTTTCAAGTGTTGTCTATTGAAGGTATAAAAAATATATAGCATAATTGATCCCCACTACTACTACTACTACTACTACTACTACTATACACACACACACACACACACGGGACAAAGGTGAAGTGAGGCTAAATATATACCTCACAAAGACATGAGCATTCTTCAAACATTTTCCGATAGTTTAATTTTCTTCTTTTTTCTCGAGGGTGTGGTCCACAGTCCTCCACATCCACCTGGGTCGCTCTTCTACCTCTTCTGTCATCCACCCTCCACCTCCTCAGTCATCCACCTTCCTCTTCCGTCATTCAACCCTCTTTCTCCGTCATCCACCTTTCTCCTTCGTCATCCACCTTACACTTCCTTTCATCCACCCTCCTCTTGCGTCATCCAACCCTCTTCCTCCGTCATCCACCTTCTCCTTCCATCATCCAACCCTCTTCCTCCGTCATCCACCTTCTCCTTCCGTCATCCAACCCTCTTCCTCCGTCATCCACCCTCCTCCTGCGTCAACCACCCTCCTCTTGCGTCATCCGTACTCCACCTCCCTTCATCCACCCTCCTTCTCCATCAACCACTCTCCTCCTCCCCTCACAACATAATCGAATATTTACAGGTATTTTTCCGTAACCTAATAACGTGTGTTCCCTCTTCCAAAATAAATGAAATTACGAACTTGAAAGAAAAATTGAACTGAAAACAAAGGAATACGGCAGCGCACTCGACGTTGAGTTTATGTTTTTACCAGAAGTGTAAACAAAGAGACCCTCCTCCCCTCCTCCGTGTGTGTGTGTGTGTGTGTGTGTGTGTGTGTGTGTGCGCGTGCTACAAACCTTACAAACACAACAGTTAATCTCATGACCTAGACACACCCACATACAGCCACCCTGACCTAATCTAACCTAACCTAACCTTAACACGACCAGCAACAAGCAAGGTTTGACTATACCCACTAGCCTGACGAAGGGACGAAACACCCGGGATTCCTACACGTTGAGGGGCTGGTCGTAAAACAGGAGAGGTTAATAACACCCACACGAGGGAAGAATTTTGTAGTCTACTAGGAGCGTGAAGATTAAATACTTATATACACTGTAATAATAATAATACCTACACCATGTACTACTACTACTACTACTGATAATAATAATAATAATAATAATAATAATAATAATAATGATAATAATAATAATAATAATGATAATAATAATAATAATAATGATAATAATAATAATAATACAAGCTCTTAACACTCCATGAATCACACACACACACACACACACACACACACACACACACACACACACATACATACACACACACACACACACACACAAGGTCGAGAGATAAGGCAGCAATATCTCCGGCCGAGTGGAATAAATGATATTAAACTTATCCACCGTGTTCCTCCCTCACAGAGACGCGTTGGAAAGAAGAGTTATATTACTTTTGGTGAGAAATTATCGCCGAGATGGGTAATTATCGCCGGGACATAGGTAGGACGGCCAGGGTGAGGAGACAGCGGCAACACACCTAGCTGACTCCTCTGTTGGCCGAGTTAATTAATTCATAATTTACATTTCGCGCATCAGTAATAGATCGTTAACCTGCAAGGGACCCTCCCACAACCTCCCCCGCCAGCTGGTGCTTCCCCTGCCAGCTGGTGCTTCCCCTGCCAGCTGGTGCTTCCCCTGCCAGCTGGTGCTTCCCCTGCCAGCTGGTGCTTCCCCTGCCAGCTGGTGCTTCACTGCCAGCTGGTGCTTCCCCTGCCAGCTGGTGCTTCCCCTGCCAGCTGGTGCTTTCCTGCCAGCTGGTGCTTCCCCTGCCAGCTGGTGCTTTCCTGCCAGCTGGTTCTCCACCGCCATTGACACTCCTCTGCCAGGTGGTTGCACCTCCGCCAAGTTTGATCCTTACCCTGGCAGCTGCCGCCTCCCTAACTTTGGTAATACCTATCTGGCTGTCACCTTAATGGCGGTGCAAACTTTGGGCAGATTAGTGAAGGTAGAAGACAATTGTAGTGGATGTCAAACACCTGCCATAACAAGTCTCTAATACCTCCTACTGTACACCTAAATAAAGACTTGATCACTGCAACAGTTCTGTCAAGGTAATTAATCATGTCAAGTTGAACACCTAACAAATTTGTAACTAATTCTGATTACAATTATAAGTATTGGTATCAGTATTAGAACATGTTTATTAACTCTTAAATTCATATGGATAAAATAAACGCTTGGAGTTGCCTAAGTGTTTGTAAACCTAAGAAAAACTCCATAATTAATTTGTAAATAACTAATGAGAATATTTAACTCTTACGGTTAATACAAATATATACGTATAAGCATCAGCATTGGAACCTGTTTAATAATTCTTCGTGTCATATATATAAAATGAAGCCTTCAAGAGGTGGCTAAGTAAAGGGAGTTTCTTTTCCCTAATAAACTCCTCCCTGTCAGCTTTACTAAATCCTTCTTCAGCCTTCAGCACATTCGCGGCCTTGTTTACATCCATGCAAGAAATTTACATAGTAAATTTCATTCGGCGAGGCCGCTGTTGTCGGGTCCTCTTGGCGAGCAGTCTGAATACTGAGACACATTACAGCTGTCTCAATACACATTCTCCTTAATGGAAGGAAGGGAAGGAGAAGGAGAGAAAGTGAGGGAAGGAGTGGGTGAGTTGAGGAGTGAGTGAGTGAGTGAGTGAGTGAGTAAAAGAGTGAGTGAGTGAGTGAATGAATATGTAAAAGAGTGAATGAGTGAGTGA